GTTCCACGGCCTGGACGAAAACCGCACTGTTCCTCCTGAATCCGAGGTTCCACTATTTATAGCGGAGATTATGGAGATTTATAGCCTTTTCTCACAGCACTTGATATAATTAAACTTATTAATTTGATGGCGGATCCAGAAAGGTTCAAACAACAATCACCAGTGACATCTAGAGATTCACCCATTGTAAAATGCAAAAGACTTTTGGACTTCGGAGTGGCTACAGAAAAAAAGAGACTGCAACCGGACCCATGCGAAAACAAGAATACATATCTGAAGGGCATTAAATGTAGAGTAGTCACGCAATGCTGATGTTGTTAGCATTAACAATTTGAGAACAAAGTATAATTTGCACGTTTTGACGTGATATGATAAACGATCGTTAGATTTATACAGCGCGATTTACTGCAATGCTTTTTTCCCTTAGTTGGTCAGAACAAAAGTGTTACAGTTTGACTCTTTGTTTCCCCCTTTTTCTTAGTGTTTTGGTTTAGTCCTATTCAGTTTTCCCGCTCCTCGTTTGTCCTCAGTTTATTCACCTGTGTTTAGTTAATTATCTTCATCCATGTCACCTGTCTCCTATTCATTATTGTCATCAGTCTCTGTATTTAGTTTCCCTCAGTTCATTCAGTCTTTGTCCGTTCTCGTTAATGTATAGTGTGTGTTGTGGTTCCTGAGTTTTGTTTATTAAATCCTGTTTCCCTGATCATCCTCGTCTTCTCATCCTTCCTACCACCACGTAACGTAACAAAAAGTGGTTGTTACTTACTTATTCAGATGACATTTTCTGGTGAAAATTCTTATGTTGGTCATACTTCCAAAAAGTACCTGTGATTCCGAATGACAGTATCCACACCGGCACGGTGACTGACAGCCGCACATTCTCCTCAAAACATTGGATTCATCTGCGCTGTGCCGTGCTGAGGCACAACCCACGTAAAGTTGATAATTCCGCGAATAACTGCAATTGCAGATTTCGAACAGAGATGGCGACAAAGAGGAAAAACTACAGACTGCAGCTTTAATGTTACAACAAATTCACAACTTGTTTGACACAATGACAACTTGACTGCTGTTAGAGAATGTTTCCCAGATAATTAGCATCAGTTTTTCATGAGTGTCTGTAACTTAGCCAACAGTTTTACAGCCTGTTCACTGACAACACCTGCTTAGAACAATAGTCTAGGCCTAGTCATATTTTCGTTATCACACGATGACTGACATATTGTCACATTATAAACATCTCTCTCTCCAAATAGGCTTAATAATTGTATTAGCACTAAATAAATTAAAGTGTATTGCATAATCGATGTCATAGGTCACTTTTAAAATCATGTCATATTTTATAATTATATCCTGGCCATGGATGCATTAATCATTGCATCTGTCTTTCAAAGATGTCAGGTAAAAAGCAATTAAAGGAGCTGTATGTAAGAAATTTATTTCAATTAATCATAAAATGGCCCTGAAATGTCACTAGACATTAAGAAATCATGTACATTTCAAATACTTATATCACTGACAACAGTAGTCTGGCCAGGATATTGTCATTTAAAAAGTGCAGTTGCAGCCCTCAACTGATGTTGATGTTGTCATGTTGTGTTTTGGTCTGATGCTCCACCCTCCACCTATCTACCAATCACGAAGTCAGTAGTGTTGCGGCATCCGGGTTGCCAGCTCTGCTCTAGTTACCACAGCTGCAGCTCGTCACGTTCCTGCTGGATCCTGCAGCCGATCTGGCAACCTCGAGTCAGGGAGGAGGGGGAGGGGATACACCACTCTACAGTAATTTGAAAGTGATTGCAGTACTAGTTTTGGCCACAATCTTACATACAGTTCCTTTAAGCATCCTCTCATTCGCCCTGAGAGGAAAGCCTTGGTGTCACTCCTGCCTGTCTTCAAAACTTGAGAGCCCTGATTATATTGATTGGAGGAAATTACCATGACATTACACAATCCATATCTCCAATATAAGTATTAATATTTATTATCTTAAGTCGACATGTTATTATCATAGAGATATATTGTAATCACTTGGGTTAAATGAGCCTGTGAGAAGTGTGAATTTTATGTCTTTCTAAGGGTGTGATTAAGCACATCCTTATCATCTTGCCATAGTGTGCTTAGGTATGTGTCAGGAGCCTGTAAAACTGGTCTTACTTTAACCTGCTGAAAGGGAGTCACTTTATCACAGGAATGTAAACACTCTTGTCCTCAGGAAGAGCAGGTTTGTAACGCGTGTCACCGTGTGTGTCTGCTTACTCACGGTAGACCTTACGCAAGGCAGGATGCAGAATATTATCGTTATGGTTAAAAATAGACTGGTATTATTTGATATTCATTACGGAATAAAAGAAACAAGGTAAAAGGATGATAAATAAACGTAGGAGGAACTTCACAAAAAATGGCAAGAGGACAGGAAAAGGAGGTCTGTGGTGGAGGAGGTCTTCTTAAATTTTCATGCTTCACATCAACTGCCAGAGTTGCAGATAATGGTCAGGGTTGTCATAGCAACCCTGGGATAAAAGGGAAAGTATCTTATGGGTCACGTATGGCTGTTACTTCCTGTCTTGTAGACACACACGATGATCTCAGCCTTTTCTGTACATTTATAGGGGCCCTTAATAAACACACACCCATTTAACACTTCGTACAGAAAGGTGTTGCTTGCCATAAAGAGCTGGCCAGATATGTGAGAAATGTTTTTAATAAGCTCCAAATAAGCCATGCTGGAATTAAAAGCTTTATTTCTCTGCATAAAAGAAAGGAAAACTTACTTCAGAAAGCATATACTAAAGTTTTTTTTGCCAGTTATGAAAACCTGAATAATGCAATACGCTTTTATTCCATCAAGAGGAAAAACTCTTATCTTTATTTAGCCATGAATTTCACATTGTGAAAAAATCACTTGTACAAAATAATGTTAACCGCAGTGGTTGAGATAAAATAATACAATTATATAACACTACATATAGAAATGAAAAGAAAAATGACGCCCACAAAAACAAGAGTACAGGCCAACATTGACAATGTTTTAGCAATGTGTCTGTTTGTGAAGGCATACAGCGTTTAAGAGTTCTCAATGCACACAGGCTTATGAGTCACTTCCGAATCAATCTTTCACTTAAGCAGGCGGACAGGGGGAAGAAGGGAGGGCAAAGAGGTAAGAGGGAGAGAAAGGAGAAAAAAACAAAACACTTGACTATTACCAGTTCAAATGGAGAGGGGAGCAATGATTGTTGACCATTGCTGTGGCAACTGTGCTATGTGAGGGGGGCAGAACGGGGTTTTCTGATTGGCTGGAGGTCAGAGTGTGCAGTGTTCTGTGAAAAGGTATTTTGGAAGGGGGAGGTGGGGGGTGTAAAGACCCTAAAGGCCAAAGGGAACTTTAAGCAAGAATTTCCTGGAGGAGATGAGAGGGTTTATGGGAGGAACATGAATCCCTTGCTACCATTTTCTCTCTCTCAGGGATTTCAATTCAATTGTGAAGCTGAGCAATTGAACAAAAAATATATATATTCTATGAATATAAAGCTATTTAATTAGTTTGAAGCATGTAGAACAGCTATAGCATAGCAAACTGCCAGTGTTGTTATTCAACCCAAAAGTCACCGTGTAGCACCACAGTGAAGATTGAAACAGATCATCTCTACAGGCAGTGCGTTTGGCATCGACGTGAAAGCACTATGGTCTGTGCCCTTATGTAGACATTGCTTTTACTCATTTTGAGACATTTGGGATCTAGCTTTATCATTACACCATTGTGGTCATCATCATTAAATTTGGCAGATTAAAAATAATCACTTTTTTATGCCACAAACTGTAGCAACTAACAACCACTCTTAAAATAAAATTATTTATTGACAACTAGGATTTTGTGACCATTTTAACACCAATTGAACCGTTTCAATGCACAAAAGATTGGTTTACTGTCTGTGTCACTTCATGTCCAGTGTAGACAGTATCTCTTTTTACAATGGGCTATATTTGCTTTTGTCGAGTTGCGCCACTCACGTCCAGTGTAGACATGGTGTAAGAAAAAAAAAAATCTTTGAAAAGTTCTTAGGGGAACCCAAACCGGTTCTTCTAGCATTACCTTTACTTTTAAGAGTGATCCAGCAAGGTGTCTGTGACATATTCCTAATCCAATCATAATGTTCACAGCACAGCTGAACTGTACGGATCAGTCAAAGTTACGACGTTCTTGTGACAGTTCCAGCTGTTCTGAAAGCAGCTGCATACGTCACATTCCCCAGATAACTCTACATGAACCTTGCAGCCCACAGAGACCCTGGGTCAGCCTGAGCTCCAGTCCTGAGAGAGGCAGGGGAACAGAGGCTGCATACTGGAACGAGTTTGGCATGGGGTCACTAGGCACTGGTCAAAAGCACTTGATAAACTATGCTGATGTTCTAGTAGATGAAACTTAAATGCTTTTTAAATGGTGGTTTGAAGTCCAATTATTCTGTATAAAACAGAAGTTGATGCAGGTCTGTGCACCATTACAACTTCAATTAAATAATTTAAAGAATCTGGATAGTTCACCCAAAAAAGACAATTCTGAATCTGAGGGCGAGTACATGACAATTTTCATTTTTGGGTGAACTGCCTACCCACTTTCCCACTCCCCCATCTGCTGACCTGCCCACTTGCACCCAGGATAATCTGAGGCTGTGACATCATTCGGCCCATTCTTATCCTGTCAAAGACCTTTGACCCCCAAGCCTCCCTGTTTTTGATCAGATGAGCAAGAGGCTCAAGCATTCGCTGACCACTACAAATTCCAACTGCTCAGTCAAAATTACCTTACGTATATGTGCAAAAAAGCAGCAGGAACACAGAGCGTTTTGGGCCATGCGTGGGACAAAAACCTGTTAACTTCTATACATCCAAACATGAACGCAAGCCAAAAAAAAAATAATAACAATAAATAAAAAATACAATTATTAATACACAATGTTAAACAAAAAGCTTAGAAAACCCTCATAAATTAAGACTATTAATAGACACTGAAATATTTTTAAGCCAGACAGCCAGTTTCTTGCACTTTTCTCGTTATGGTCCTTTTTTTTAACAGTTTAGTTGTTGTTGCCATAGAGACTGCATTCCCTCACAGGGTGACGAAATGGCTCTCACATCTTCTCTCTCTCCTTCTGTCGTTCACGTTTACCGTGACTGTATGTGCTTAGAATAGTACAGGCAAAAACAGTGAAGCAGAAGTGTCTCGCACAATTCGAGTTTTGTGCAGGAGAATCTTGAAATTCGAGTCGGTCAGTGATCAGAAGCTGGAAGGATAGTGTTTGTTGTCGGTTTCTCAGAGGGCATGCTCACGCTGTTTGTCGGGTGTTTATTTTGGAGGGGGTGGGGGTATGATCGGGTGTTGAGTGGGGTCAGATGGACTGTCGTTCAGACTAACATGCTGGGACATGCCTTTTCCGTGCTCAGTCACATACGCACAGCTGACGCGTGTACCTTGGGACACACTGTGCCCATGTCTATTTTCACACCAAGCTGCTAAGGTTTGTTCAACAGGAACAGTTCAGCATCAGTCTGTCCTCCTTGTACAGATGTGTGAAGGACAAATACGTAAAAAAGGCTCTCATGTTTCCTTCTGTCCTTTTTATTCTTTAAACCAGCAAAATATTACGTTTATCAGTCCATTACAAGCCCGCCTCAGTCCCTCTCCTTTTGAGCAAGGTCTATTTTTTAACATCACCATGGGAGAAGAAAAGGTATATACATATCAGGATGTGAGGTACTTTTCCTGGATCTCCAATCATGCGTTGAGACTCCTGTTGATCTTCCCAATCAAAAGCTTCCACTCATCCTTCATGCAGTAAAGAAATTAAGACAGGCATACAGGTCTATTTTAGCTTGCATGGCATCAGCATTGTAAAAAACAAAACAAAAAAAAAAACGGTCAGAGTACACAAACGTGGGGGGACGAAAGTGATGATTATGCTGGTTATGATGGAAGCAGACTGGGCTTTCAGGATGCATTGCAGTTCTTTTGGTTTTCACTGTGAAGCCCACGTTCTGATACTTCACAAAATGTTGGATACGACATCACAACGTTCTTGAAACTTCCAAGCAGGAAGTTAAAAGATTTGAGCAAACTTGCAGCAGAAAAAAGCTTTGTGACTGGACTTCGTGCACAATACTTAGCTCTTATGGGAGAAAGTCTTTTTGTAAAATTGCACAGGAGGGTTATAGCGTTTCTTCACAGTTGGAATCCAGTAGACAATAACGACAAGTGGACACAAGGAACTCTGTGGAAAGAAAAGACAACAAAAACATTAGAAATGTAAATTTCTATTGAGGTTTTTTCTCTCTCTCATTATGCTACTTTTGAAAGCTAGGCTAAAAGAATACAGCACACATTCACGCATTTCAGAAAAGAATAACATCTCATATAATTCAGACATTGACCCTGACCATTTGTTTCTGATCATTTCTTTTTCCCCCTCAAGGAAAAAACAAAAGGAGAGGACAGGTCAGACCCTCACACCTGTTCAGCAGCAGATACAAGCCAAAAGAAATTACACACACAGAGCCCTGTACTCTTTAAAAACTTTCTGCATTCAGTCAGATCATTGGTGGTATTAAGTTAACAAAGAAGCATTTAGGAACCTAAATCACAACTAAATGTAGTGCAACAAAAGCTTCCTCTTCTGTCTATTGTTGCACCAAGTGCGTTTTTCCTCTTTGGCTTTGACTCCGCTATCGTTTTACAGCCTTAAGCTTCTGCAAAGGCCAATATCTATTCTTGAGTCACGTATTCTCTTTCTCTCTCAGGGTCTCTAGCTCGAAATAAGAGAAAAATGGAGTGAAGGTGATCATTTGAAAGCAAAAGTCCCCCAGAGCATCCAAATCAAGTCGTTAGCATGCATTCTCCCTCTCTTTTCCTTCCCAAATCCCACTTTCTTCTTTTAAGTTTTGCATAGTTCATATAAACGACAGTAAAGGGCAACAGAGCCCTGCAGTTACAGAAGAAACGCTAGCCAATTAAAACACACTCAAACAGAAGCCCAAAGAGACTGGAAGGGGCAAATTCAAATCCATCCCTCCATCGATCCCGGGGCCGGCTGGGTGTAGATTCTACAGAGCTGTTTTTGAAGACAAAATGTTCAATGAACCATGGCACTTCATCTAAGCAGCATGGAGCTGACGGTGAATGAACACAGCTTAGACTAATGACCTCCCTCCACTCCCACACCAGACCAACTCAAGCCTGGCATAAACACACACACACGAGTATGTGCAGATCACACTTGTGCACACGCGCATGAACATACAGCTTTTTACCATGGTGAATGTTTTCCATTGATGTCTGTTGTTTTTATACTGAGCTAATGACATTTGCTGTCTCTAGCCTGTACCTGTCCTTTCAATCTTTCTTTGCTGTCTCCACAAAAAATATTTAGCAGCACAACCGTTTTCAACATTGATAATAATTAGAAATGTTTGTTGAGCACCTAATCAGCATTTTAGAATGATTTCTGAGGAATCACGTGACACTGAAGAGGGGAGTAATGATGCTGAAAATTCAACTTTGCCATCACAGGAATAAAAATACATCGGAAAACATTCAAATACAAAAGTTATTTTAAATTGTAATAGTATTTAAAATATTACCTTTTACAGAATTTTATCAAATGTATGCAGCCTTGGTGAGACTTCTTTCAAAAACATGACCCTTACTGACCCCCCCAACAGTAGTGTACATACATACATGTGTCAAATATTGACATACTTCAGGCTTCTTATTTTTTGAAATCATGACTTAAATTTTGAAAGTTTGACAAAAATAATCCCATATCATTGATCCTCTATCCAAAGTGCTGAAGATTGAGTTTGAATTGGGGGGGGGGGGGGATACAGAGAGAGGGAAAAGATAAGGGATACAGAGAGCAGTGTGTCTATGTATGTAGGAAAAGGGAGGATCTTTGTAACCAGATGCATTCCCATGGGAGAGAGATAGCAGGAGTTGAGTGTGAGAAAACAGCCAGTCGGAGAGAACGAAAGAGCAAGACTGAAAATCTTTGTTTACCCTCCCTTATCCAGTCCTCCCCCTCTCCCCTCATCTCTGTCTTCTCTCTCCTCCCACTCCTCTGGCCAGCAGTGAGGCTCCTCATTGTTAATAGGGAGGAAGCTTGCTTAGAACACTTCATGGTCTTTTAAATGCATTGGAATGGCTCAGTGAACAAAAGGAAGGACCACCACTTTGAAATTAACTGCCCTGCCGAGGTGGGCAGCATTTCACAGGCACACAAAGTCACAGAGACTTTAAAAGCAAAGCTAAATGACCAGCACCAAAGGGTCAGGACTGGAATGAGTGTTTTTCATTGGGGAGGAAGTTAAGTTAGTGTAGAGCTTGTTTAGTCTACTGTCCTGTTTGGTTGACTGTCAGTATAGACCAATTTTCAGTTGGTAAACATGGTGACGTTTTTCTGTGGGCGGAGCTTAGGTGGAGGCAGAACGATCCCTCTGGACGCTTCCCTACTGTAGTATGCAAGTTTCGTTAGCTTGTTTTTTAACAATGACTGGAGAAAATCCGATGTTATCTTAATGTGTAAGGTCAGTCACTGTCCAGGACCGCGATTGTTATTTGCAAAAGTTAATTTTAACGGACGGAACTAGATTGGCTGATCCGTAGCCGCTACACGCTCACTCAATGGACGATCTGACAGGATTAACGTTACCTCGGTTGAGTGGCCTAACTTCTACACCTAGCTGCTACCTTATAGAGAAATCGAGCGTAAGAGAAACTAAGGGCATATACATCTTTAAATGCCTATAACAATGTGATGAATGGTCACGTACAAGACTTGTGTGGTACGATCCGCGGTTCTGCCCAGCCAGCGCCAAGAAGACGACAATGTAAAGAGTGACATTACGGTGCAATTTTAATGATGTGAATATTTTCTAGGAATAAAAATTCCAGATACAGCATATTCATTTTTCATTGATTCTAGCACCCAACAACACAAGATGACATTTAATAAAAATAATAACAATTTAAGCTCCTTATTATGTAGCCGAATCTGTGCTGGTTTGTATTGGCCGCCTGCAGTTTTCCCTTCCTTTTGCCTCCAGCTAGCGCCGTGACGTAACTGTGATGTCGGCTCGAAATTGGTCTATTTAGGGGTTATTCTGTTCTCACTCCACCTTCCATGGCAGAGAAGAAATGACTGTATAAAATATTAATTTCATTCTACCAGGCAGAGATACATCTTTCTTTTGTTAGGTGCTTTCATTCAGAGAGTAAAGAAAATTGTTTTGTCTCTTCCTTTTTTCCACAATGTCTTTGGCTCTTTTTGAAAATGTTCTCATAAAATAAGAACAAAAATTGTCTATACTTTGTCTTTTGTTTCCAATGAAATACTCACAACATATAAATGCATCCAGCTTGATTTCAGTTTTGCCCCCCAACTCACATCACAATGTGAATTACAAGGATTTCAGCACAATGTAAAACATGACGATTAACAGAACCGAAACCATTTATGGAAAACAACAGCTATGACTCATCTGAATTACCTCATCTCACTCACTTGTATAGATTGCTTAGCTTCAGAGTAAAACATGCATGAGTCAAGCCAAAAAGATTTCCAAATACAAAAATCATTTGAATCAACAACAGCGTGGGATTAAGCTGATCTACAGTTATGAATCTATTGAATTCATTTTTGTTTTGCCACACACTTTTAGCAGTGTACATTGACTAAATTCATTTAAATTAAACCTGATTAAACCGGCACAGTAGGTACAAGTATGCTTACATGCATATCCATCGGATTACACCAATTAATTTGTTTTAGTCACATACACACCTCAGTCCGACTTACATTTTTTGGTGTCATTGAACTAACGTACCAAGACAATGCGATTGTAGCTCTGCTTCTTCCAGCATGTACACACATTAAGGTGTGGTCACATTAGCAAAATTGCGATAGACATACATTTCTTTTGGTCAATCCGGCGAAATCTGCGTGGGGAAATCTTTTACCCTTATGCAAAATTCCTGATTGTGTGGATTCCTATTGAAATGACTGGATTTCCTGGATAAATTCACCAAACAATGGTAAATGTGACACCACCTTTAATCAGAGAGAGCGCGGTGATGAACAATCTGCATTTAATCATTCATATATTTGATTATGCATTGTGGCATGTATACTCAAACAAAGATAAAGACTCTAGCTCAACAATATAACAGTCCATTGTAAACGAACTGCATAGTTACTGAACTGTTGCTCAGACTTAATGCAAGCATGCTCCATGTTGTCAACACACTGCTCATCCAAATACACAACACCTCACCATTACTTTCTCTGCCTTTTCTCAAAGCCCTCCCTCCTTCTCCATTCACCCTACCTTTCTTCCCTACTTCCTCCACCCTTAGACAAATTTCCCCCTCAGGAACAATAAAAGTCTTCTATTCTGCTTCAATTACCCTCGGTGCAACGCCCCTCACTGCACGCTCATAACTCATTCAGCCCTACCGCAAGCTGCCTCCTCACAACAGAGGCACACAAACACAGAGTTTTACTTTGGATCTAAATTTTACATGAAGATTTGCATGTGCCCAAACGGACATTAAAATTCAGGTGTAGTCTAGCATCTATCTATGATAGGTGCGTGAAGCTTGAATCTCCAGCTCAAAGATGAAGGCTCTGAATTCTCTCAAGCAAGGATCTCTTTTTTTTTTTATCTCCCTCTCTCTCTCTCCCAGACTGGAAACTGATCAGATGCAGCAGAGCCTCCGTATCAGCCAGACCAGACAGAGCACACAAACACTGCATCAGTGGGCATATCACTGCTGAGAGGTAGATACTGGAAAGCCTGATGCCCTTTTCTGATGCAGTCCTGCTGTGACCAAAGCCTGTTTTCCTGGAGACTGAGCAAGGCCCAATGCTTAACAGCTAGAATTTTTATGGACTCTCAGGAGATGTGACATCTGTAGCAACCTATTATAAAACATCCATTAATGCACCAGCTTTGAAAGTTCTCGATTAAAGTGAAACATTAGCACTTAGCAATTAAAGATTAGCACAGCTATATATATATATATATATATATATATATATATAACAGAAGAATCTCTTCACAGAAAAAAAGGAAAACTGTGAAAAGACCATCAGACAAGAAATGAGAAATAATTCAGAAAACACAGGGGAGCTGATAGATAGAAATAAATATATCCGATTGCACATAAGCAGAGTTGACCAGGTTGATATTAAAAGCATGCTGCCTTGCCATTCCTTTCCTCTCTGACTCCTAACAAAGTCTAATTGCTCTGTCAATACTCAAATTGCCACTGATTTTAATAAGGTTCTTTGTCAAAGTATTCACAATGCAGATCATGAGGGATAAATTAAATCACTATATCCAAATGTAGTGTGCATATGAACAAACAAAGAGCCATGTAACCTTGTACACAGGATTTTTCCTGTGTCAGTATGCTTACAAAGAGGGTAATGTGCATGCCAACCACAACACTGGGACGTTAATTCAGTTGAAAATGAATTTTGGGAAAATTAACAAATATTATTTTAATATGTTTAATGAAATTCATCCAGCCCATTGTTAATTAAGGACATTAACACTTCCTCTGAAATTCTCTAGAGTTAAGGAAAACTTCTCTTAAATGCATTTCAGTCCTTACAAACTACTGTGACCATGCAAACATAAATAGCACATATTAAAATGATATACTGTTTTACATAGTTATTTTAGTCTACTATAAAATAATAATTAATTTTTAATAATTAACTAATTTTAAATTAATTTAGGTATCACAACTTTATGATGTACAGTATAAAACTGGATGTTCTGAATGGATTTTTACATTTGATTAATATAGCATTGGACGGTGTTATTAAATTATTTGTTTTAAAAGATTAATTAACAATAGTGATAACAAATCTAATATTGGCAGATTACTGGTATTGTACCGCTACATATTGCATCCCTTTCTCTAATTGGATATCATTTTTTTTACAAGTCTGGTAATTCTGTTTTTAGATTGCACAACCTACCTCATAGGAACAGTAGGGTCACAGAAGGAAGTACAGGAGTGCTTTAGGCTGGGAGGTGTTTCCAGGTGCTGACGAAGGCAGTGGGGATTAAGGAATAAGGTACGGTAGTGATGCTGTTCCAGGCATCGAGCGTAGGGTCATAGCAGTCCAGGGTTTTACAGCGCTGTGTACCAAAGTAGCCACCCACCACATAAAGTTTGTTTCCAGATGCCACCGCCTGGCAGCTCATTCGTTTCGCTGTAACATCTCCAACTTTAGTCCACTGATAAGTCTCACTGCTGAATTTGTAGGCAGAGCAAGCAGAGAATTCTGTGTCGCCCCCCATTACAAAGATCTGGTTGCCGAGAACAGCAGCTGCAGTGTAGCGCCACGGCTGCGGGCAGGATGCCGGGACTGTCCAGCGATTTTCTGAGGGATCGTAGCACTGAACTTTGGGCAGCTTGTCATGGGCCACACTCGTCCCTCCGAAGGCGAACAACTTAAGCTTTACGCTGACCACAGCTGCATTACTAACTCCTTCTCGCAGTGGTGCCACCATGCTCCACTTATTAGCAACTGGGTCAAACTGCTCTACCTGCTTCAAGGACACAGATGGTGATGCAGGCAGACAGCCAGTGGCAGCTGTGTGACCTCCGACAACATACAGGCAGTGGCGTAACTCAGCGGAACCGTGACCGAAACGTGCTATCAGCATTGGAGCCGCTTTAGACCATTCCTCCTGTAATGTATCGTAGACCCAAACGTCCTTAGACACACCGTTCTCAGAGCCCCGGCCACCTGTCACGTACACTTTGCAGCCAATGGCACAGGCGCTGAACTCCTTTCGTGGGCTGGGGATGTCCGCCTTTGGAATGATCTCTTTGGCCTTCTGGTCCACCAGGTAGAGCTTGTCGCACATAAACGTGGGGCCGCCCAGCAAGAAAAGGGCATGACTGGTCTTGCGGGGCCGGGCGCAAGGACTGTTGACGACGCCGTCGTTTTGCAAGATGCGCAGTTTGCAGCGGATGGCCTCGTCTACCAGCTCTTTGCTTTTAGCCTGTGCGATGATGAGCTCCTCCGTAGAGACGTTCTCCATAAGGAAGATGGCAGGCAGGAGAGCCAGACGCACGGTACGGAGCAGCTCCGGAAGATGACAGTGCCTGCTCTCAAGGTCGTAGTTCACCCAGTTGAGAGCTGACTCGTAGACCAGACGCTCGTCCTCAGTTTCGAGCTCTTCGTGTGCCAGCAGTTGGACCAGCATGTCCTTGGGCAGCTGGAGAAACTCCTCAGTCTTGCAGATAGCCGGGAAGTTACTGAGACACATGCTCCAGGACAGCTGAAACAGCTGGGTGCACTGGTGAGCATCCGAAAGCAGCAGCATGCCCAGGCAATTGGATGGATGGAGGTTCTTCTCCAGGAACTCGGCACAGGCATCACGAATGTCCTGAAACTCCAGCATGTCACCGGCCTCAAGGAGAGATTCTGCATTCTCCTCGTTTATTATTACTCTTGACGAGTAGGCGTAGTCCAGTAGGAGCTCCAATACCTTGACAATGCGGAGTGAAAACAAAGTTAACCTAAAAGTGATAACCTCTAATTTTTGCAGTCTAACTGCAATATGAATTAGGCTGCTACTTGAAACCCATGAAGCTATTGTTTTGCAAAAGCAAGTCTGATGTTCAAACCCAGAGGTTCTCCAAGGTTTAAGAACTCTTCAATCAATCATATGTTGTACCTTTGAGAAGCATACAATTAGCATACAATTTAAAGAGACACTCCTCAAATATTTTTGTTATTTACTCACTCTCATGCATTCCAAACCTTTATAAAACACAAAAGATGATATTTTGAACAGTGTTTTAATGGCTTTGTCCTACAATGAAAGTCACCAGAAAACATTGGACCCCGCTGACTTAAAGAAAAAAAGAAAAGATCACCTTCATTCATCAACATTTTTTCAAATGATCTTCTTTTGTGTTCCACAGAAGAAAGCCATACAGGTTTGGAACCACATAAGGGTTGAGTAAATGATGATAGTATTTTCATTTTTGGGTGAACTATCACTTCAACACACTTGGACTAGCAATACAAATTTAAACACTACAACAATACCTCTGGATGAATGGAGTCCCTGAAGTCCACTTCACTGTCCTGACTTTCTCTCAGCCCTCCGCTAAACATTGCTTCAAAGTAGCGGCTGCAGGCGGCCAGCACAGCCCTGTGGCATGGGAAAGAACGGTTTCCAGCGTGGAGCAGAACATCCGTGAAGAGTCTCTGCTGACGAAGAGCATTCAGGTGCATTAGCACGCTGTCTGCGTACGAGGACTTGTGGAACAGGTAGATGTTCATAGAGCCCGTGCTGGCACGAGACTTGCGGTTCTCGTGGACACAGACAGACATTTTCATTGAATCCTGAAACAAAAAAAGAAAGACAAATTGTTCCATTGACAAAACTAGCATACTGCTGGGCTTTAAACAGCGGTATTTAAACCGTTTCAGAAGTTGACTGACATTGTTTTGAACAGTGATATGATCAATATCAGCAAAGTACTCAAAGAGCATGTCAAGCCTCAATATGAAGGAAGAGAAAGATGATGTAATTCTGCAAACAACATAAAAAACAACTGGAAGCCTCTCTGATGTCTAGCCGACTGGAATGTGAACAAATGCAATGGAGTCTAATCATTACCAGGTGTTCAAAGGCGGATGGATAAGGAGGGGAAACTGAAGGGGGGGAAAAAAAACTTTCAGAAGTAAACACCGTTGCCTGAAATTTACTGTGGAAAAGCGAACAAAGAGTTGAACACCAGGCACAGAGTCAACACTAAGTGTGTCAATGTCACCGACTGCCATCTGGTCGCCTATATGGTGCACATTCAAATCCAATCAGTCTGAATTTCCATGTAACCGATACATTCCCCCTGGTCCCTGCCGGCTGTCAACATCCCTCTGGGGAGAATTTAATTGTGTTTCTGCTAATGTTGTGCAGAGGCAAAATGTAGTTCCGAACTGAGCTAAATACATTAAGGACACAAAAGCAATGGTGATGTATCACACCTGATACAGTCCAATAATCCATTTAAATTGGCCACAGCTGTGAAGTACAAGAGCCAGAAACCCTGTGCTGACATTGGCCATTAATTATTTTGCAACACAGCACTGAAAAATAGCAATGTGAATGACTGTATACATAAAGCATAAACAACCAGTAAATAACTTACAATAAAATAAAATGTTATAACAAGTAAACTGTGAAAAACTGCGTTTAAATCAACATTTATGTCTGTGCCAACAGATGTTACAGAAATCTAATTTTGAATGATGACAGACAGATGCCATCACTCAGACACATCACTATTTGTTTTATTTATTATTATACATTACAACTTAAAGTATTATTATTATAATAATGCATAAGAACAAGAATAATTACTTGTTTTATTTATTCAAACAATTTTTTTATTTCACGTTAATATAAACAAATCCTCACCAAAACATAGCCTAGTATCATAGAAGAAATGTTCAGCCAACCTATGGTGACTAAAGAATGCACGTGCATTTACATTTATGAAAATACAGACTTTTGTTTTATTTTTTAATTAAAAAAATAATAATGCTTACCTGCTCAGGAGCAATGAAGACTTCAGTTCCGTCTGCCTTGGCCCTCGAACATGCCACAACGCGACAGGGACAGTCACAATACTGGCGGCGCTGCGCGCTCCGGTAACAGCGTCCGATGTCGCGTGGATAAACCACAAAATAAACAAATGAAGAGTAATTTAATCCAGATGCTTTTAACGTAAGAAATTAGCCTACAAGTATAGTTTGGTATATTGTTGCTGAGTTACATAGAAAACTATTTCTTCTATGTTTGTTGTGACTGCGGTGCACAAATAGATTTGGTCGTATCGTCATACAGCAGCTCTCGCGTGCAGGTCTCTCTCAATAGTGAACAGCTGACGGGGTGTGAGCTTTTAGAGGAGGAAGAAAGAGAGGCGGAGCGCTACTGCTCTTTAGGAGAATGTGGGAGGAGATAGACTGCTAAACTGGCCGAGATAAAGAGATTGTTGGTGCATTAATATAATAATTAAGGAATTTTAGTAGGCTGCATATCACCAGGGGGGTTGTGTGTATGAAAGTGTTCAAAATCATTGCACGAATTAATACTATACATTTCGTAACAAACAGTCATAAAGCGTCCATTTAAGACGTGCTGCATAAGGTGAAAGTTATCCAAATTAATAGCAACTTAAGTGGAAATGCTGTGTTTTCAAGTGAAAGGCGTTATTGTTCAATCATCTAGTCTAAACTGCACAAGGAGTTCAGCCTAAACTTTGTTCCTCAATAGTTAGAGATGCACTACCATGCACACGTTGGTTAGAAGGTTCAGACTCAGACTCAGAGCATTGACTGTCTGCTTCAGAGATATTATTAAATTTCATTTACGGAACAATGTCGCCCCCTGCTGAACAAAAGGCGCACTTGCGTTGTCTGCATCATACCTGTAAACGCTCTTGCCATATGTAGGTGATTTAAATGTCTACATTTTGAATGAACATTTCCAAGATTGGTCTTGGGTCTTACAGTAGTGTGGTAGACTAAAGCCCCCGTGGACCTTTATCCGTTACAATATTGCGTTACTCCTTAAAAAAGGAACTACTTGCGTTACTTTCTTACCTGGGCTTGCTTGTTTGTTTTTTAATTACAAAAAAAGTTATATTTTTGGCACATGTAAAGGCCCTTTCACACCAAAAGTTAAATGAATAAGCCTCAGGTTTAAGGAAATGCAAATTCACGCCTGTACAGTAGAGGGATGCAGCTCAAACAAACCTTTCAGCTGTGCTGCCATTCTGATTGCAGGAGAAAAGGACGCAAGGGAAGAAAGTTACTCTTACTTCAGTAACAGGGAGAAAAAAAAATTAAACACAAATGTGGTTTATCTAAAGTCATTTTTGCTTATTTGTATGGCTGAATTGGATCATCGACAATTCAGGAGCAAAGACATTGGTTAATAAAGTGAGATTAAATAGGTGTGATGAAACAGTTCGGATACAATTGCAAGTAAAAAGATGTTTATTAAAGATGGTCAGGTCTAACACAGAACACAGGTCCGGGAACAAACACTCAGGTGGAGAAGTGACACAGGGACGTTGATGGGCAATCCGGTGAGTGGTGGTGAAGATCAGCGTGCTCAGGAACCAGGAACAATAAACAATCCAAAAGGCGAAGACAACGAAGAAGATACACACGATGAGAAGGAGAGAGCCACACGGAACAGGACACGACACCGGGGAAGCCACAACGATCTGACAACATGAGAAGGATCTTACTGACATATAAAGGGAACGGTGATGAACAGCAGCTGGCACAGACAATCAATGGGATTGGAAAACCACGCCCACACAGACACGCATACACACACAAAACAGCAGAATGAGACAGTGGATTCATGAACCGTGACAGTACCCCCTCCCCTAGGAACGCCTCCTGACGTTCCCAGCCACACTTACCTGTCGATTGTAATCATCGATAAGGGAGTGATCCAAAATGTCTCTAGCAGGCACCCAACTTCTCTCCTCCGGACCGTAACCTTCCCAGTCCACCAAGTACTGAAATCCGCGTCCCCTTCGCCTCGAGTCCAGAATACGATGTACCGAATATGTAGGTTCCCCATCTACGAGTCGCGGCGGGGGGGGGGGGGGGGGGGGGGAACTGGGACTTGCGGGTTAATAGGAGAATAAAACACGGGCTTGATTTTAGAGACATGAAAGGCGGGACAAATTCTCCTGTACGCCGGAGGAAGTTTGAGTCGGACTGCCACCGGACTAATGATCTTGGTGACAGGGAACGGGCCAATAAATTTAGGAGCTAACTTATTAGAAACGGCACGGAGCGGAATGTTCTTGGTAGAAAGCCACACTTTTTGACCCACGACGTATACGGGAGGCTTTGACCGGTGGCGATCGGCCTTGGCCTTCATGCGCCCCCCCACCTGGAGCAGAGTCTCCCGGGCTCTGGTCCAAGTGCGGCGGCACCTCTGGACGAAGGCGTGGGCGGAGGGGACCGCGACTTCGGATTCCAGACTGGGAAATATTGGTGGCTGGTAACCTAAACTACACTTAAACGGAGAGAGGCCCGTTGATGACACTGGCAACGAGTTATGTGCGTACTCAACCATAGAAAGTTGCTGGCTCCAGGACGAAGGATTCTTGGCTACCAAACACCGTAACATTCTCTCCAAATCATGGTTAGCTCGCTCGGATTGACCATTGCTCTGGGGATGATAACCCGAAGACAGACTGACCGTGGCCCCCAATAACTTACAAAACTCCCGCCAAAATTTGGACACGAATTGGGAACCCCTGTCAGAGACCACGTCTTTCGGGAGGCCATGTAACCGAAAGACGTGATCAACGACTGTGACCGCTGTCTCCTTGGCTGAAGGTAATTTGGGCAAGGGAATGAAATGTGCCGCCTTCGAGAAACGGTCCACTACGGTCAAAACAACCGTCATGCCATTAGAGGGCGGGAGGGCGGTGACAAAATCTAGCGCGATGTGGGACCAGGGTCTCGAAGGGACAGGCAGCGGTCGGAGTAACCCATCAGGAGGTCGGTTAGACGTCTTGCAAGTGGCACAAACCGAGCAAGCTAAAACAAAATCGCGAATATCACGGGTCATTAATGGCCACCAGAATCGTTGCTTGACCAAACCGCTGGTACGACTTACTCCTGGATGACAAGCCACGTTGGAACAATGACCCCACCGAATAACGTCGGACCGTAACCCCTCCGGAACAAACAAACGACTCGGTGGGCAACCGGGCGGAGGCGTTACCCCTTCTAAGGCTGTCTTGACCTTCGACTCGACCTCCCATGTGAGTGCGGAGATAACTACTTTCTCAGGTAAAATACACTCGGGAGTAACCGGGCGTTCGGATGGATCAAAAATACGAGATAAGGCATCGGGTTTGATGTTCTTGGAACCCGGGCGGTACGAGAGAACAAAATCAAAACGTCCGAAAAAAAGTGCCCACCGAGCCTGCCTGGAGTTGAGTCTTTTAGCAGATCTAATATATTCAAGGTTCTTATGGTCGGTCCAAACGATAAAAGGTACCCCTGACCCTTCTAACCAATGTCGCCATTCTTCCAACGCTAATTTGACCGCCAACAACTCTCTGTTACCAATGTCATAATTACGTTCGGCAGGCGACAAGCGATGGGAAAAAAACGCGCAGGGATGCATCTTGTCGTCTGAGGAAACGCGTTGGGAAAGAACTGCGCCTACCCCCACCTCTGACGCGTCGACCTCCACCACGAACTGACGTGTGGGATCAGGGGTGACAAGAATGGGAGCCGAAATAAAACGACTCTTGAGTTTGGTGAATACTGCTTCCGCAGTATCGGACCACCTGAACGCAGTTCTGGGGGAGGTCAAGGCGGTCAGAGGTGCGGCTAGTTGGCTGAAATTGCGAATGAAACGGCGATAGAAATTGGCGAACCCCAGAAACCGCTGTAGGGCCTTACGGGAATCTGGACTTGGCCAATCCATCACAGCCTTAACCTTGTCAGGATCCATGCGCATTCCCTTCAGAGGAGACGATGTACCCTAGGAAAGAAACAGACTGTGCATGAAAGTCGCATTTCTCCGCCTTGACAAAAAGCCCATTCTCTAACAATCTCTGAAGCACTCGTCTGACATGTTGAACGTGTTCCTGGAGAGACGAAGAAAAAATCAATATGTCATCCAGGTAAACATATATGAACTGATCGACCATGTCTCTCAACACGTCATTAACGAGTGCTTGGAAAACCGCTGGGGAGTTGGACAGCCCGAAAGGCATGACCAAATATTCAAAATGCCCCCTAGGGGTATTAAAAGCGGTTTTCCATTCATCCCCCTTCCTGAGGCGAACCAAATGATAAGCGTTCCGTAAGTCCAATTTTGTGAAAATGGACTCTCCCTGCAACCTCTCGAAAGCTGAAGACATCAACGGCAAAGGATAAGTATTCTTTACCGTGATGTTGTTCAGCTCTCGGTAATCAATGCAAGGTCGCAGAGAACCATCCTTCTTTCCAACAAAATAGAACCCCGCCCCCGCAGGAGAAGAGGAAGGTTGGATGAACCCAGAGGCTAGAGAATCAGAAATATATTTCTCCATGGCCTCCCTCTCAGGAACAGAAAGAGAGTAAAGTTTGCCCTTAGACGGAGACTTACCTGGTAATAAATCTATAGCACAGTCATAGGGACGATGCGGAGGAAGAGAAGCAGCACGAGACTTACTGAACACTTCCTTCAGGTCGAGGTACTCTGCGGGCACGTTAGACAAATCCACTGCCTCCTTCTGAAACACAGAACCAGACACAGATGAACAGGCAGACAAGAGACATGACTCATGACAGTGGTTACTCCAGGAGGTAATGGAATTGTTGTGCCAGTCGATACGTGGGTTATGCTTGGTGAGCCAAGGATGTCCCAGAACTACTGGTGCTAACGGTGAGTCCATGAGAAGAAATGAGATATTTTCCGTGTGATTGCCCGACGTGATGAGTGTGATGGTTTCAGTAGAGTGAGAGATCCTAGGAAGTTCTTGTCCGTTAAGTGCGTTGACAGATATGCGGTGCGTGAGAGAAGTGATTGGAATCTGGAGCTTGGATGCAAAACTGAAATCCATAAAATTACCCTCTGCTCCCGAATCCAATAGTGCTTGAGTGGCGTGCGTTGAGGTTGCCCATCTCAGTCTTACCGGGAGGAGGGTTGATGATGGTGATGAGGACTTCTCGGCGGAGATCCCACCCGATAGTAGCCTCATACTTACTACCGGGCTTGCTCTTTTACTGGACACGAGTAGAGGAAATGGCCAGCCTTGCCGCAGTACAGGCAGAGTCCTTGGGACCTCCGCCTTTCCCTCTCCTCCCGGGAAAGCCGAGCTCTCCCTACCTGCATGGGCTCATGGTCGTA